AGGGGTTCATCGTCGCGAGACCCTAGGTGACGGTGCCGCCACAAAATAAGCCGAATAAACAACAATAATCAAGAAGGATATCCATTGGAGGCAAGACGTCCAGCTACAACCTGAGGGTGGCAGTACGGGGGGAAAAACATTGTCTTCCTACCAAGTATAAGGGGAACATTAGCTTCCTCTCAAGTACTGCGTGAGCAAGGGGGGAAACACGGGCTTCCTGCCCAAGCATTTCCATCTTGGACATATATCGCGAGATTTGCGACCCGAAACGTCGCCAACAACACCGCGAAGTCTCGCCTGATCGATGGCCTTGCCCCCCTCGCTTTCACGCCACCTGGCGTGGAACTCCGCGGAGGTTACGGGGGCTCGGGCAAGCCCTCCCGCTGTCTCGATGTCAGTGCGGTACTCGTTCCCTGCCTCACCCGTGAGCTCCACCAGCCAATCAGCTTCGTCCTTTCGAGGGGGGCAAGTCATGCTGATGGACGGACACGGTGTATGTACAGAGAGGCAAACACGATAGGACTATTCAGAGAGGTCCGTCTCTGGGCCGATTGGGTTTGCGGTAAACAGGGGGCTCTGAAGAGGTTGCGATGGGGTTGAATGGGAAGCGAATAGCAACAAACACGTTCATAAAAACAGAAACAGAAACAGAAACAGCAGCAGCAGCGCCAGCAGCAGCAGCAGCAGCAGCAACAACAAACGTCATGTGTTGAAACCAACCTAAATAGGCTGCATAAACAGACTTGTGGACGTGCAAAAGCCCTACCATAGCTTCGCAACTTGTGACTTTCTCCCATAGTGCTTCCCCGCCTCTTCGTCTTCCACCCTGGCATCACAAAATAATAAATCGCACCACATGTGGAATAACTGCCAGACCCCTGGTCCGGGGATAGCAGAACCACACGTTGGTAATGCAACACTACCCTGGAATCATATCTGTAGATACCCCGGTGACTTTGTTGTCTTTCGTGATTCGTTTATGTTTCGCAGAAAAAATATCAACACCCACCCCAGGCTGTTGAAGTACGGCACCACGTCCTCGCGAGCTCCGTGGAAAATTATCTTCCCCTCCGACATGAGGATGATGTTGTCGAACAGCGCGTACGTCTGCGAGCAAGAACAATAGCGAATTGATCGAATGCGTTTAAGCAAGAGCTACGCTGTCAAGATTGAGAGAGAATAGGTATGCTAGCAGAGAGGAAAGGCCAGAGGGAGATGCAAGATCGCCAAGTTTGGTTCAATAGACTCGTCATTCATGAGATACCCTTCCCTAAAGAGAAAGGTTGCATCTGAGCGATGACAAAAACAACAACAACAACAACAGCACCACCACCACCACCACAACAACAGTAACAACAACAACAACAACAACAACAACAACAACAACAACAACAACAACAACAACAAGAACCACCACCACCACAACAACAGTAACAACAACAGCACCACCACCACAACAGTAACAACAACTGCACCACCACCACCACAACAACAACAACAGCACCACCACCACCACCACAACAACAGTAACAACAACAACAACAACAACAACCACCACCACCACCACCACAACAGTAACAACAACAGCACCACCACCACAACAGTAACAACAACAGCACCACCACAACAACAACAACAACAACAGCACCACCACCACAACAACAGTAACGACGACGACGACGACGACGACGACGACGACGACGATAACCCCAACAGACGCGTGAATTACCTCCGGGGGCGGCTGGAGCAGAGCGACCACCACCGTGCTGTGGAAGCTGCGTGACGCCGACTGAACAAACAAACCAAGCAACGGGGGGGGGGGGGGTTAAGTTCGCTTTATATATCCTTTTTTCACGGTGTCTTGCCTCGGTCAGTATCAGGCCCGACGGGGGTCTACAAGTATTGGTTTTGGCTTTTTTTTCGACTCTTCAACGGCAGTTTTGCCTCAGTCAGCATCGGGCCATTCGCCACGACTCTCGCTGACGGCATGGTTGTCGTGATGGGGAGAGGAAAGCATGCATCCTGCGTAAGCCTATCGTCACCTTCGAAGGGTCAAAGGCGCTTCGGATCCTCTGGTGCCTCCGACAACAACTATTATTGGGCTCAATTGAAAGACAAGTTTTATACGGTTTCCTCCCTTATCTCTCTACCTCATGCTGCTGTTTTTCCTCCGCCGAACCGCTTTGTACGGACGAGGCCTTCACGCTCCTGCGCGTGCTCTCGCAGCCATACGCCGCGTGGACTACATATTATCGACTAGGCATTATCGACACGTCTCCCATCGCGTCTGACATTCTTGCAGCGGGCAACGCTGTCCCGCCCGCCGTACCTTGAGCGTGTTCATGATGTCGAAAGTGGTGCTGCTGTCCAACCCGGTGGAGATGCTATCCAGCAGGAACACCGTCTGCGGCCCGCACAGCATCTCACCTGACCCAGCAAGTTTGTCGCTCGTGTTAGGGTAAACACACGCGAGCAATTTATCACACCATTGTCGCCTTGCCTATCGCTCGGTAGGGGAACATCGAAACAACTCGACACATCGTTGTCGCCTTCCCTATCGCTCGTGTTAGGGTGCACACGCGAGTAACTCAACACGCCGTTGTCGCCTTGCCTATATCGGTCGTTGGGGGCACACACGCGAGCAACTCAACACACCGTTATCGCCTATCGTGTCCTCGACAATAAAAGTACCTTTCCTACGGTTGCCGTACCCCGCACCCAAGTTGGGAGATGCGATCGCTGCCATATGAACTTGTCGCGATAACTTCTTCAGGGCATGGTGGTGTGCTATGGTGGTAATATTTTGAACATCACCTCCCTCTCCCCCCCCCCAAACTCTCTCTCCGCCCATCTCCCTGTCTCTTAAATCTCTTGCTCACTTCTATTGCCTGTCTTTCCGTCTCTCTGTGTCCTCTTCTCTGTCCCTCTCTCTTTCTCTGTCTCTGTCTCTCTGTGTCTCTCACTCCCTCTACCCCCCCCCCGATCTCTCTGTTCTCACCGAGAGTGACACGCCTCCGTTCTCCTCCGCTGACCCCCCTGACGGAGTTGTCGCCGACGATCGTGTCCTTAGCGTTGAACAGGCCCAGATTCCGCGTAATCATCTCCACCTACATTGTCAACGACGCAAAATACAAACGAGAAGAAAGTTTGACAACCACGACTGGGATTGACTCTGACACACACAATATGCATAGCAGCATGCATTATAGCCCATCGTTCCCACTAGCGCCAAGAAAACACAGTCCCGATCACGTGTACGTTCGTGAATACACACGATTCGATATGATATGACGTTTGATCAATCGAAGGTTTCGTTTCGATGCGCAACTAAATAACACTAGAGTGCACCCCATCGTCAGATCACACTCCACGTGAAGCCAAAAGCTCACCCAATCGCGCATCGCAACGTAACGCAGGTTTGCCAAAAGTCACCTTGAAACGCATGCTGTCCATCCACGATATCAGGTCCTTCTGGTCGTCGTTCAGGCCTTCTTCCGCCACGAGGCTGCCGTGAGTACCACCAGACATGGAGTCGAACGCGAACTTGAAGGTCTCGAGAACGGTCATCGTTGGAAGGTGGCGATCCGCCTGACGAAAAAAAAAACAAGCGTCGGCGTGAGGGACAAACCGCACAGGGTCAATTGGCAAACAAAGATATGTTACATGGTTTTCGGACGGAATGTGGCATTCCGCTTGACGCAAAAAAAAAGACATCGGCCGGCGTGATGCGCAAAAGCGCGCAGAAACAAAGACGTAACATGATTTTCGGAGGTGGCCCGTTTTGTGTTGCGCGAAGATATTTGGTGTAGCACGGGTATCAGAGATGATATCTCCGGACCGAAGGGGGGGGTGTTCATGTGTGCATGAGCGGATGAGCATATTCCAACGGGACTACTGTAGGACGTGGCTACGCAGATAGGAATTGATAGTCCCCTGGATTGGGTTTTATGGTTGATCCGCGGGTTCGGCTCTGTGGGAGTGCTTGGTGCTCTGCGGCACGTTCTCTCCCGCCGCATCTTGATCTCGTCTGCTGTCCTTAATAGAAGTGATACAAGCATCTTCGACACACATACAAGGGTAGACTAGCAGGGTGGTCAGGTATGGAGCCCTACCCGAGGCAAGCTGCCATGTTCTCCAGAACTACAGCCACGGTCATGCGGTTGGACCCAAAACAATACTTCAATACTCTCTCACCGAAACAATGTCTCTAGGTTGGTTTGAAAGAGGGCTACGTGAAATCCCTCATGGAGGGTCAAACTGAGGATAGGTAAGCGTAACTCGTTCTAATTGTACATGAACTCCCGGATGTGCTGAGATAGAACGAGGTCAGCTCAGCGACAAATCTTGAGTTAAGAAACGAGGTTGGGTTGTAGAGACAACCAGTTGTGCTACTACTGCCGATTTTCGTCGGACGCTGTGCGCTGGGTCATTAGCGAGCGACCCTAACCCTAAGCCCGAGAGGCTCAACGATTGGGAAAGATAAACCTTTTGTCACACACTTATGTACATTTATGTTTTCTTTCGAAAACAACGTAAGAACTAGAACGCCGACAACAAATCCGACGGATCCAAATAAGCACTAGTGTCTGCATCGGCTTGTGCCTGCCTACGAAACCTCGCCCTTTACCCAAGCGGTATGTCGAGGGACGGTTTCAGCATGTCGAGTTAACGTCGAACGTGTTCTCTGACCTGTTCCGCGAAGTGCGCCACCTTGGGCAAAGAAAACTTTCCAGACTCCTTGGTGGCCCCGTTGTACTTGAAGGCGAAGGCAAAAACAGAAGTAACCGCGGCAGGAGGGGGTGTTGGTTAGGTCTCGCCGGAACTCGAAAACGGCTTAGCCCTCACTGGCGAAACTGCTGCTGCCATGCGCTGTCATTTGACGGCCGGCGCTGTGTACTATTGGCCATAGCAACGGTCAAGACCTAGGAGATTGGTTCGATTTGAAATCTTACTCTACCCGGGAAGTACTGCCCAGCTCAGGCCAAAAAACGTGTAGGAGAGCGCGCTATTTGCAGTTGGCAGGCAACTCATGGGTGGGGCGACCCAACATGGCATCTTTAGCTGCGCGAACGCGCCCTGCCAGCTCCTCCAACGATGATTGCTGCTCTCACGATGGCTTCAGAATGCTTAATGTGCCCACATTTTTCCACACCAAAGCAAAGTTAAAAACACCGTCACTCCGCAATAGATGGTGAGCGCCCTCCCTGCTCCGACTTTATTCCTGCAAAACCGTTCCTCGCCCCCTTCATGCAGATTCCTGGGTTGCCCTTTCACCTATATCTACCTTTCTGTTGTTTGTCTACTCCTGTCTTATGATTCCCAACAACCCCGTTAACAGTTAGAAAAAACGGATCGGCCGGTTAGCAGCGTCCTTGGGCAGGATGAACGGTGTTCACGGAAAAAGGTATTAGCTACATATTCGACGAGAATATATCTTCTTCCATTCAAGAAATGTTCGTCCATGGCTTCACGAAAACGGCCAACATGCTTACCGTGACACTGCCCTGGTTCACGTGCCCTGCGTCGTGCTTGAGCAGCCCCGCCAGTGACTTGAGCAGAGTTGACTGTTGATTAGTTCTCAACAACGGCAGGATGAAACGCGTTAGGAAAAGGGGTGGGGATGATTGACACGGAGTGCGTGTTCCACTAGAGATTTTCTAGAGTAAACAAGAGCAGGCTGAAATGACGTCAAATAAAATCAGCAACGGCGCGAGGCAATCTCAAACCCCTTTGTGGGTGAAGAAACAGGGCTTGGTTGAGCGTATACTGATTCAGGATGTGGCACCTTGCCGGAGCCGGGCGCGCCGAGCACGAGGGTAGTGGTGGAGAGCTGAATTTACCAGGAAATGTTTATAGTGAAACGAACACGAAAGCAGGCTGAATTGCCCTTGAGCAAAAAAACAGTATCGGTGCGAGGCAGGTCCAAATATCTTTGCAAGTGAAGAATATGGGCGAAGAAGGGATAGGGCGTGCACGATTGATTCTATATGCGGTTTTGTTCACCTTGCCGGAGCCGGGCGCGCCGAGCACAAGGGTAGTGGTAGACGGCTTGAACACGGCGTTGACATCATCCAGGATGACCTTGGTCTCCATCTCCTGCACCGAGCACAATCAATCGTGTTTGGGGTCGATGTGTTGTTGGTCAACGAACCGCGCTTTCAGGCTTTTCAGCACACCAGCGAAAAACTTCTTTATAAGCAAGCCAGTTGGTATTGAAGGTGATCCCGCTCTCAGCAAACACGTTCGAAGCGTAAATTTATCTTTGTATCGAGTTTCGGAAGGGTGGGAAACCCCATGGTCCAGCCAGCATCGATGTGCCCATGCCTTCCCATGCGTGTAGACTACAATATACCCGTGGGGGAACACGCCGCGAAAAAATCCTGTCCTCGAGGAGAATAGCTTTGAGTTGCGACTTAACCAAATACACGGAACTAAGGAGGCAATGAAGATAACGTGACCCTCGTTTCGTCCTCTCCGTTTCAGCAACAAGTGGGCACGTGAGGTGCCGATAGGGAGATGCTTTGTGCGGTGCTCTGGCGGCATCATTTGAGTTATTTCGACCACGCCACCCATGGCCACGAGACGTATAAGCGCTTTACTATTACATATCTGCAACACCCTGTGTCCAGGGCACTGCTGCCAGGTTGTCAAGGGAAGCTTGTGTGCAACGCGTCTCATGTTCAGGATACCTTTCCCTTTTTCAGCCACTCGATGAGTGGTAGGCACATGAGGGTCTTGCACAGAGACACCAAGTTGTCGCCCACGGTGGGGTCTTCGGTGCTGCCCTTGGCCCTCTGCACGCTGTAGCCTAGGCCCTTGACGCGCACTTCGCAGCCGACGCCGGCCAACTGCGGTAGCTCCCTCGCGATCTGCTCGAACTTCTCCTGGTAGGGATGATTTTGCACGAAAAAGGAAAAATGTCGGTCGTAAACATGTTTCTGATCCTTTGAGAGGCATGCACCAAAACTGCGCTATGTAGTTGGCGACGGGGAAGGCGTCGTGTTTGGTCTAGAGGATGACGCGGCACGTTGAGCTTTCGGGCTCTCCTTGGTACACCTGAATTTTTACCCCTTCTGGCTCGTCGCGCTGTAATCGTAGCAGCATGGTTCCACCTGCAACAACGCTTATTTGGCTCAATCTTGCACGCTACATGACAATACATAGTTTGACTAACCACGCACCGTACGAGGCGGAGAGATGGTACCCCCATCCCCCCCTAGACCGACCTTCAAAGCTCGATTACTCCACACCAAAGCATTGTCTGTACCGTACCGTATACCGTACCGTGGTATTCCGTACGAGGCGGAGAGATGGCACCCCCTCCTAGACCGACCTTCAAAGCTCGATTGTTCCACAAACAAGTGGGCGCGGAAAGAACCCGATACGTCTACGGACACAAAGACCTCGACGAGATGTTTCCAGAACCACCATTATTCGTGTTAGCACAATCTTGGTTGTGGAGCAATCGAGCTTTGAAAGTCGGTCTAGGGGGGGGTGGGGGTGCCATCTCTCCGCCTCTTACGGAATACCACGGTACGGTATACGGTATACGGTACGGTACAGACAATCTTGGTTGTGGAGAAAATCGAGCTTTGAAAGTCGGCCTAGGGGGGGTGCCATCTCTCCGCCGCTTACGGTACTACATCGCACAGTAGTAGTGGAGCGTCCCCTCATCTCCCCCTAAAGGTTAGTGATCTCTGATCATGGACAGACCGTCCTGACCCTGTGTTTCGACTCGACGCATCTGCCGAGTGGTTTGTTCTCTCACGCGTGCTTGCGGGGTGTGTTCCTTCGAGAGCCGACTTGCAAGACGTGTCGAGATACATTTCCGTACAATGTTCCTAGACTTGCCGGTATCGAGGGGTACAACGGAAAGCTATGTAGCTTTAGGGAAGAAGCCGGAATTTCAGAATGAGAGGTAATGTAGCTCTAGGAAAGAAGCCGGCATGTCAGAATGAAAAACTATGAAGCTCTAGGAAAGAAGCCGGTACATCAGATGGAAATCTATATACCTCTAGGGAAGAAGCTGGCATGCCAGAATGAAACATGTCGGGTTCGGTGGTTCAGCCTACCAAGGTTCTACGGCACAGGCATGCGTCATGTGCCCATTACCCGCACCTCACCAGCCACTTCGCACGGTAATTGACTCGTACGACAACAGAAATCAACAGGCGAAGGTTGCTGCAAGTAACACAGCAATAAAATGCGTCCGTGGTATTGAGCTGTGTACGCTCTCGTCTTGGGGGATACAACGTAATGTTTGATATCACGGTAGTGGTGCTGATATCCTCTCGGACGAATGCTTCGTGCGCTTCGTAAGCTGAGAAAAAATATGAGCATGCAATAAAGTGTAAATTCCCCTTTGCTTTCCGACAAATAATTGGTACGGGAATGACGGAACCCTATTGCTACATTTTCGGCTCGTATGCATACTGTACAACAACCGATATTTTCTGCCGGTGATCAAGTGGCTTCTAACGGGTGAGACGCACGTGGCTCCCCCCCCCCTCTCCCCCTCGGGCCCCACAGATAGCGATAGCATGAAGAAATCTGTGGACAATTATGTTCTAGTCTCGCGAAGACTTTAGACGTCGAGACGAGTCCAACCTTACGACGAGTAACGCACGCCGTCAAATAACCCTTTCATACGCGTCCAACACGACGACGAGAATTAGTGATGCACACCGTTACACAACCGTTTCGTGTCAGGTTTGCAGAGAAAAATTGTACCTGGTTGGTGGCAGAGGTGTCCGTGATGAAGGCGGAGCCTTGCGACAGGATCCTTCGCTGTCGGGGAGAAGGCGGCGCATCCTCGTGCTCGGCCCTCTGGGCGAGGTGGTCGGACAAGGCCGCCTTTAGCGATCCCGTGTCCTGAGGGAAAGCAAGCAAAAGCGCGCCCGGGTGCTGGGTAGTGCGGTGGTGGGTCCTAGCGAAGAAAACGATCGACCTCGTTAGTTGGATGCCGTACAGGAGGACGCCAGAATGACGGTATTCGTGCAGAAGCAGCTGGCATATTTGAAAGCATCGTCGGCGATATCGTCCGACAAAGCCGCTTGGCAACCCAGATACCGAAATAAACCGATTTGTCTACGCAACGATCGACGGGTGGGTGTGGTGAGTGGGGAAGGAAATACCGGAGATCTGGTGCCTGCAGGCATGCCCGCTTAGGAGACATGTTGCCATTACCCTCGAGCAAAATGTGGGCGCTACTGTAGGAGTGCGCCGTTAGCAAAATGGCGGCCGGGTGCGCGGAGGTTAGACACAAAATAGCGTCACGGCAGCGTTTGGCTGATTCGTCAGGCACGTCCAGCGTTGCCCCTGTCTTCGTGAGCGCAGCCATATCGTTGTGGTCTGGCGCTAAGAAATCTCTGCCGTGATACAATCGTATTATAGTCTGTCCAACGAGCAACTCACGGATCACACTGTGTTGGTACAAACAGGCGTTGCTCCCCCCCCCACTCACCGTGGGAAGGTGGTACCCGTAGGTCTCGAGCAAGGAAGCGAGTTGCCCGACGATGCTCTTTTGTTCGTAGGCTTGCTGCTTGTAGTACCTCCAGTTGCCGTCGTGATCGCTGGCGTCCTGCGAGGGAAAAACACGTGGGTAACAACGAAACAGGCACCATCGCGTGGAGGTGTTTAGGGACGGGGGCGGGCGGGGCGCATCGGTGGTGCTCGAAGTCCGTATGCTACATGATTTTTGACGGTTACACAGCACTCCCTCTGGTTCGGGCGAACTCGACACAGGAGCCAAAGCTTTCAGTATTCCAACAAGCCATGACACCCCACCTCCTTCTGGGCACCCTTCCCTAACGGTATTCCATTAACCGGCGACATGTCCGTGAAGACGTAAACCGCAAAAATACTACCACCAATACTGGACAGACGAACACAAACTTTTGCTCGTCGCTGTGCCTCTTCCCCTCGGGCGCCAAGGGCTCCAGTCAACGATAATAGACTCTTTCAACCAGACAAGTACAGCTGTAGCAAGCCCCCGTTTCGAGGCGTATTTCAACGGGACCCCCTCATTTCCCTCGCGGGCAGCGGATGCCGACTCTTCTTGACTGCGCGCGACAGTGTGTGCGGTGAAGGCGAGGGAAACCCATATCTACGTACCAGGAGACCGCTGTTGTCTTGATCCTGACCGACGGCGAAATCCGAGGATATGGCACCGTCGTCCATTTTCTCCTCCATCCCGCTGGTGGATTCCACTGCTGTGCGTGTTGCACACGATATGGCAACAATCGAATAGCAAGATAGCGAGATGTTGACTGCAATTTTTGGCCGTAACAACACTAAGCCTTGGTGCCAGATAGGCCTCTGACGGAAGGCGCCACTACTGCACAGCGCCGCCGCCGAGGAGTCGTGATCGAAGGGTTCAACTCCTGGGCGTATTGCCCTTAATATCGCCCTTCATCAAACAGCCTCCAAGTCATATTGCGAAACAAGGCGATCACTATAATGAACCTGCACCACTGTCCGTGCTCTCCCCTCCTCCCCCTCTGTCCTCCGATCGAGAACAGGAGACGACACTACATCGTACCGTACACATATGAGCATGATGATACTGCTGCAACAAACTCAGCAAGATGGCAAGCACACCAGAAATGTGCGTTGTGACTCCATCCCAACGGCAGAGTAACCCACCTCCACGCTCCTCGTGCACTGGGTGATGCTCTCACAGGCAGGCCAAGGCTGCCCCGTCCCTCTCCAGCAGGACAAGAGCTTTCGCTCAACGGAAGCAAGTTTGACTGCGAGGGCGAGGAGTCCGGGGTAGAGTGTGTGCACAGCAGTGAAGAGCAAGTTGGAGACGGCAGCGCGCGGCGGAAGAAATCGCTTCGACCAATTTCATCCCGCATGTGCGGGGAAAATGTTTATTTCCGCATTCGGCTCTATTTTGTTGTTCACCGCGAATATCATAGAATGTGCTGTGTGTGTTGTAGAAGGCAACCCTGCGTGTACAGAGGACACCAACTTGATTAGTCGCTCATTTCTCTTCTCCTCTCCCCGGGGTACCCCAACGACGACAGTCTTACTAGGTTGTACATAGTTCAGCGTAGAATCCAATTTGTATTCCCCAAGAATCGAGATGTTCGGAACCTATTTTTCACGGGTCCCACGGGTCCCAGAGGGTCACGCGGTCACGATGACCAATGAATCGCAGATCTAGAATAATAATACCTTTCAGGCGTATTGCCACAGGCTAGAGGTATTGCCACAGGCTAGAGCCAGTGGGACACCCTAACCCGCGTACAATCACAACGTGCCAAAAACTGGACATCAGAAGTGACGTGGGTGATGATGATATACATGTATCTGGGGTCTTGGAAAAATCAATCAACAGGAGAGAGAGGAAGTAAATCGTGTGCAGGTACTTTATTTTCAGCCCGCAGTGCAGTTGAACGTCTACACTATGAATGTGTACTGCATGGATCTATTACACACGCTCCCGTGTTGGCATTGTACCTCGCCGATTACTGATCGCGTACGTGTGGGCACGTGGTTTCTGTACATCGACCGCGCTACAGGCAGCAACCTACTGCTCTGTGTGGCAGACCAAACAAAAACGGCTCTTGAACCGTTTGGAAAACACACCGCCCATTGCGCCGCCTTGCATTATATCCCCCTCTCTGCTCTCTGCTCTCTTGCATCTCTGCATCATCCCTCCCCTTTCGTGGAGACATGTGATGCACCGCGTGTGCTCCGCGGTCTGGTAGTAGTGTAGTGTACTATTTGTGTATGCTGCTGATCTGCCGCCCCTGCGAGGGCTGTGGGAGTGGGCAAATAGAGCTGGGCCTAAAAGGAGCCTTGCTTGGTTATTATAGTACACTTTGGTAAAATAGTCACTCTTTACGGACTGACCGATGTTGAACGTAGCAAGGCTAGGTTCTTCACACGAGCGAGGCTAGGCTGCTAATCCCACATCTACCCTAACCCTAGCCCTAACCCTAACCCTCACCCACGGCCAAAGCACGGCCTAGCGGCCGCGAACTGGACGGCACGCGGCTGCGCCGCGTGCTCGGAATGCGGAACGGGGAGAGGGCGCTGGAGAGGAATTGGCCGCCAGAACCAACGCCGAACAACCCCCGACCAATCAGAACGCGTTACTCGCCTAAAGAGCGAAAAAGAGGGGGGGGGCTGTCAATATCCCATCCCCTGTGGCTTTGGGTGTGCCGTGTGATTGTCTTGGAACTCCCTGAAATCGATGGCAGCGCGGGGCTGGAGCTCTCTCACTTGCTGCGGGAGCCAGCTTAAGTCACGCATCCAAGGTAAGGGAGTAGGGGAACGAGAGATAGGGGATGCATGTGTTGGACCAGCGTTTATGTGGAACCTTGAGCTGCTGCGTGGCGGCGCGGGGTAGTATGTGGCAAGGTCGATGAAGCCGCGTGACACTAGGTGCGAGCCTTGTGTACCGATTGCATGGCTTTGGGAGATCGTGCGGCTGCCAGCTGGAAAGGACGGAACGCTGGTGCTCGCGATGCCGGCCGGCAGTGTCCGGCAGTTGTCGCCGTTCGACCGCCTACGGCATCAGATGCAACCAGAAAGGATTCGTCGTACGAGATGAAAAACTGCTTGTGTTCTACGGGGTGCACCTCCTCCGGCCTACACACACGCGAGCCGCCAGGCGCTGCGGCTGCTTTTGCACCTTGCCTGCTGGGAGCGAATTTCGGGGGTGACTCTCGACACAAGTCACGAACTACCCTGCACAACGCTTCTGATACCCTCGCTCCTCTCAGCGTTTTGCTGCAGCTCGCTGCCTTGTCCTCACGACCCTACTGGTGTTACTGCTGTTACCTCTTGTCACCACCGGCCATCGGCAGGTCAAACCAACAGGCGTAACCATGCCGCACTCCTTCGGTTACCGCGCGCGCACGCGCGACATGTTCGCCCGTGACTTCGGCAAGAACGGAGTCAACGAGCTCAGCATCTACCTGAGGAAGTACAAGGTGAGGGGCTCGTGGTACTTTCTGGCATGCCTTGAAACAAGCGCCTCCGTCGTAGCATACACGCGCTGGCGCTGCTGCAGGTACCCGTAGGGTTGCACAAGATACCACACCCCCTTGTACCGATTGTCAAAGCTCGATGACTCTACCATCTACCATGAAGAGGATGTCGACATCAACCAATACGTTTTCGGAAAGCTCTCGACGAGGTGGTTCCAACGCCGCCGTTTTCGGCACCATGACTGTTCGTGCTCCAGAGTAATAAGGCTTTCAAATGCAAAAGTCGGGGTGTGTGATACCTCGTGTATCCTATGGCAGAAGACTGCGCATCATCCAGCAGCATCATTGCTTTCATTTTGTCACGTACGCGAGGTCGACGGCGCGTCCCGTGTAAACGAACCGTGCTCACAGAGAACCGTCGGGCATGTTTTGGGCCTACTTCAATATCCAAGTAGTGCCAGAGCTATCCTCTTTATACACGCGTGCCGATTTAACGAAGTCATCACAATACGTTGTGGGTGGGTGTTGCCGTATTGTGGCGTTGAGATTCTGACTTGATCAGCACGCGTTCAGGGAGAGCCCCGGTGTCCAGGGTTCGCGAAGATAGAGCGGGCAGAAGACCTCTAGGTCCCTTGTTGATGGTGATGGTGTCAATCGCCCCGAGCTCGAATTGGTGACCAGCAAGATGATGGCTTTCACGAGACAGCATTCATTGCGCGGGGGGGGGGGGGGGGGGGGGTGACGGATGACAATCTAGCGTGTGCAAACCGGACCTACACTGCTTCTGGTGCGCGGGGGACCAAACGTGGTGGTCCAATTCGGTTTGGATGCCTGGTAGAACGTTCCCCCGCTAAAGGCCACACGCGACTGCTGTAACATGTGTGCAATCTATGCGGCTGGTTGGAAAGGCTAGGAAAAAGAAGGGCGAAGTACAGTACGTGGTGCGAAGGCGAACAACAAACTCAATTGCTTCTGTCAAAAAACTGTGCCTCACCATCTAGCTACTGCTTGTGGGGAATATTGCAGCAACATTGTTTTTTTTTTTTTGTCTCCTTCCTCTTGTCTTCTTACGCTGCAGCGTGGAGACTACGTCGACATCAAGTGCAACCCCTCCATCCACAAGGGTATGCCCTTCAAGTACTACCACGGCAGGACTGGTATCGTCTTCAACGTCACCAAGACCTCGTTGGGTGTGCGCGTCAACAAGCAGGTGCTTAATAACCTTGACGTTTTCTCTTACTGCTCTATTGATATGTGGCAAGGCTACTAGAGTCATCTATGGTGGTTCTTGTGTACTCATGGAATTGTTGGCCCTTTTTTTTTTTCTCGTGTGCAATTGTTGGCTCTTATTTGTTGTTGTTGTGCATAATCGGTGCTGCATCTCTCCCCAGCAACCGCGCCCTCTCCAACATTGACGTTTTCAACGGCGGTCTTGAAGACGCCCAACAGTTCTGTTGCCCTGTGTTGGCAGGGCCGATATGAGGTAAGGGAATTATTGAGCGTCTTC